TATATATATATATATATATATCAATGTCATCATAGGAAAATTTTGAGTTCCAACTTGGAGTCTGTACTAGAAATGACTTTAAAATTTTGACCTAACCGTGTGTCCACAGTTTATTTAATTTGAACATAAACTATTTAGTTTCTTTCTTGCACTGTGAAAAAGTTCAGAACGAAAATGCCCACAGAGTTCGGGCTGTCATAGGGCAGAATCAGATGGTTAGCTGCCAAAAAGTTTCACGAAACGTGCTTTATCTGTTAAAGTTACGGCAGAGTCATATCTAGACTTCATTCTTTCAGACTCAGGGATTTAAATTAATATTCTCAGTGTATCAGAGTTGACTTGGGGTAATTTATTCACACGAGTGAAGCTCACAAGACGGATGTATATAAATTAAGAGGCAACTTCATTAATTTACGATAAATTATAAGAATAATAATTTATAATAAAAGGCCTGTTGGCTATTCAATCAAATGTTCTCTTGTCTGTCTCTAGGCAAACTACATAGGGAGCAAAATTATGATGAAAAATTTACTTTGTAATCACAATTAGAACTAGCTCGATGATGGCCAGACCATGTCTGTTTTGTCAAACAGAGTCTGTCACATAGTAGATATTCAAGAATGTTCTTAGATGAATAAATGAATGAATTAATATTATTTAAAGTCATTATCTCCACAATAGATGCTCTTCCTGCCATGGGAATTACAGGTTGAAACCTTGAACCGTGACACTTAGGTTGTCTCTCCTACAGGTTATCGTCAGTTTACCTTTCTTACCTTTTTTCTTTTCATTTTTTTTTTATTATGGCAAAATAAACGTAACATAAAACTTAACATCTTAAACATATTTAAATATACGGTTCAGTAGTGTTAAATACTTTCACATTGTTATGTAACCTTCACCAGTATTCATCTCCATAACTATTTTCATCTTGTCAAACTAAAAATTTATATCTTTTATTGAACAGTAACTCCCTGTTCTCCCCTACCCCTAACCCCGGCAACCACCATTACGCTATCTGTCTTTACGATTTTTACTACTTCATATAAGTGGAATCATACAGTAGTTGTCCTTTTATAACTGGCTTATTTGGCTTAGCTTAAAGTCCTCAAGGTTCATCCACGTTGTAGCAGGTGTCAGAATTCCCTTCCTTTTTAATGTGGAATAATATTCCATTGTAAGTGTAGACCACATTTTCCTCCCCCATTCATCAGTCAATGCACAAGGGTTACTTCTACGTTTTAGTGACTGTAAATAATACTGCTGTGAACGCGGTGCACAAATACCCCCTTGAGACCCTGCCTTCAGTTGTTGTTGGCATATACGCAGAATTGGACTTGTTCGATCACGTGGTCATTCTGTTTTTAATTTGGGGGGAGTGCCGTACTGTTTTACAGTTCCACCAGCAGCACCCAGAGTTTCCAGTTTCTCCATATTCTCACCACTCATTTTCGCTTTTTTTGATAGTAGCCATCCTAGTGGGTGTGGTGGTGTTTTCATTACATGTCCCTCATGATTAGTGATGCTGAGCATCTTTTCATGTGTTTGTTGCTCATTTGTATGTCTTCTTTGGAGACATGTCTATTGAAATCCTTTGCCTATTTTTTGGATCAGATTGTTTGTTTTTTTGGTGTTGAGTTTTAGAATTTCTCTGTATATTCTTGATATTAATCCCTTATCAGATATATAATTGGCAAACACTTTCTCCCTTTCTGTGGGTTGCATTTTTTACTCTGTTGATACTATCTTTCGATGCACAAAAGTTTCTCATTTTCATGAAGTTTAACCTAGTTTTTCTTTTATTACCTGTGCCTTTGATATCATATCCAAGAAATCATTGCCAAATCCAATGTCATGAAGTCAATGTCAAGATCCACAAATCTTGCCATTTGCAACAACATAGATGAGCCTAGAGGACATTATACTAAGTGAAATATGTCAGATACAGAAGACAAATACTTCATAATCTCACATCTGGAATCTAAATAAGTCGAACTCGTAGTAACAGATAGTAGAATGGGAGTTACCAGGAAATGAGGAGATGTTGGGCAAAAGGTATGAACTTTCAGATATAAGATGAGTAAGTTCTGGAGACACAGGTCTCCACAAGTACAGCATGGTAACTGGAGTTAATAATAATGTACTGTAAGTTTGAAATCTTCTGGGAGTAGCTCTCAAGTGTTTTTTATCACCAAAAGAGAAGGGTAATTATGTGAGGTGATGGATATGTTAATTAACTTGATTGTAGTAATCATTCTACATATCAAAACATCATACCACAAATATATATATATATGTATATATATGTACATATATATAATGTCAGTCATACTTCAATAAAACAAAAAAATAAATAGAAAACAAATGACAAGATGTTAGCTATAAATCCAAATATATGAGAAATTACTTTGCATGTAAATGGACTAAATATAATTTGGATGCCACTTTGAAGAGAGTGTGTGTATGCTTGTGTCTGTTTTTACTTGCGTGTGGAAAATGTCTCATCGAGGTTATCTCTAGGTAATAGGAATTTTTTCCTTTCACTACTTTATATTTTCTGATGATTTCCTAATGGAAATATATTACCAATGAATAAAATATGAAGAATAAAAAGAAGACAAAAAAATTCAGTGATTATATTTTAAAAGCATAATAGTTCTCCAATCTAGTGACAGCCAGAGGGTGGGGGTCTGGAAGAAAGCAATGAAGGGTTAGAGAAGTACAAATCAGTAGCTGATAGATGGTCACAGGGATGGGGAGCAGGGCTTGGGGAATGCAGTCAGCAATACTGTAATGGCTGTGTGGAGACGGAGGGACGATAAAAGTAATCAGAGGAATCATTTCATAAACTATACAAATGTCTAACCAATACACTGTATACTTGAAACTCAAAATGATAAAAAATACTAATTTAAAAAAAAAGCATAATGGTCCTCAAATTTTTTAGTATGAAACAGCAAACATGCCGTAGGGGCGTTTTAAAGCAGGTTTTAATATGAATCTGATTCATGGCTTTTAAAGGGTACAGAAGTCATCGATCTACTCATCACTCGTGACTGTCATACTACAGAATGTGTTAATGTCGTATCCCATACAAATACTAACAGGCAGATAGTCCGAAGGTCTTGATAGTTCTGTGGCTTAGAAAAAATATACTTTTCATCATGTACTGTCCACCAAGTGTTTTACTACTTCAACGGCGTAATTATCTTTCCTGTCTCTCAGTATACTGTGATATGTATTTTTTCTGTTATTCTACTTAGCATTTTTCTGTGTAGATTATAATTACTTGTGTATATCTGTCTATTCTTCTCAAGCATCTACACCCAAAGACCCAGCTTCAGACATAGGCAGTAGTGGGAAATGTAAGGACTTAAAAACAAACCTATCAAATGTCCCCATCATTTCGTATAATAAAGAACATTTTAACCCTCAAAGGAGAGTTATTATCTTTGATTAAAGGTAAGTCCTTTAACTTGGATAGGTTCAGTTTAATGAAACATAAAATATATTATAGTTCATCTCATGATAAAAGTTTCTCAGAACTGTTGAGACTTTGCCACGAATTGCTGTTAGTCTTCTGACCTGTTTATTGGGGGCCACTGATACCATGCTGCCTCAAAACAATACACCTGGAAATCGATGACAAAAACCAAGGAGTCTTCCAAATTTGGAACCTTGTTTGACATTCTCCCCAAAAATGGACTGAGGCTACAGTCGAAATGTTTTGTGCTTTTTTTATGTGTACCTGTGTGTATATAGGATCAGTAAGCTGGCGGATTCTCAAATGGATAGTCAACCTCTCCAGTCCCCCTCCCTGAAGGACCAAAAAATAAGACAAGACTCGAAGCAGAATGAGATTAGGCCCAGAGATGACAATACATCAGCTTTTTCCGGATTGAATGAAATTGCTACCGTTCAATTTAATACTGGGGTGAGCATATTTAAACCTAGTGTGTTTGGCTTGGGCATAACATGTACACTTTGTTTAATATCTGAACTGAAATGATGTTTGGAGTTTAGCCGCAGAAGACCCAGCCAGATGTGATTTCCCAGTGCAGGAAAATGCGTTCTAGATAAAAGTCACAGCTGCAACTCTCACCATTGCCATTATTCAGAATCCCTTTGAGAAGTTCTCATTCATTTTCTCATAAATTTTCCCTTTGTTCAGATCTAATACAGGACCCAAGAGTTATGACAGTTGTAATCAGATGATACTGGTTGATTAGGGGCATTTTTTTTTTTTGCTATGAATCATCGTTTGAATATTAAAACCTAGTAAATAATAATAGTTCCATACAAATTTCATGGGGATATATCCTTTTAAAGTGGAGAAATAGAAAGGTTATGGTTCGGTATTAAGTAAAAAAAATAGATGCAATTTTGTTTTTCGGATCAGAAATACAAGCATATTAATGAATAAAATCGTCTTGATAACATTTTCCATGTAGTTAGATCAGAAACCAAAACCAGACCATAATTCTTTCCCTTAATACCTTACACAAGTAAAACCTTTCACACCATCTTGTTGTTTTCCTAGGTCCAATTCAAGGATATATTTGTATTATATGTGTATATCTTCTGCTATAAAAGCATTTCTATTAATGGATTTCAATATGAATATCTCACTTGAGTCACCAACAGTTGTAATGCTGTGTTTTCCTTCTCATTTTAGTTTCCACTTTACTGCCAGCAGTTTTATTCCATGTTTATAAAGCGAGCACTATTCAGTTGGCGTCACTGGAAATTGATGCTGCTACAGATAGCAGTGATTTTGTTTGTCACTTCATATCTCTTAACAACTCAAACCTTAAAATCTAAGGTGCACGCCAGAGAAATGGACTTGAGTCAATATGGTCATACAATTGTGCCTTACTCAGTTTCAGGGAATTCCGATTTGGCTCTGAAACTCACAAAGAACCTTAAGATTTTTCTAAAGCTTCGAAATCAAGAACTTCGTGAAGTGCAAGGTGAGACGCGCAGGAAAGAAAGAGGCTTCTGCTACGTGAAGGCCTGTTTGTGGCACTCGCAAAGAAGGGACTTAACTGTGGTGTTTAGCTACACGTTTCTTTGTTTTCCTACTAATTACCAATATTGTAGAGGCAGCTAAGTCAGAGGCCCCAAAAAACGTACACTTCGAGACAACTGGCCACAGAAATGATTAGGTGTCTTTCAGCTATTGCATCGCTCTTCAGAGGATGGGTAAAGACCCAAAATACTGCGTCGTGCAATGCAGCATGGGGTTTTCATTCTGACCAGAAACAAATATGTTTCTCTAAGCTCTCATAGGGTGGAGTGTCAGTTCCCAGATCTGAAGGTTGCCCTTTAGTTTACTATTTCTAAAAACAAGTAGCTGAGACTTAATAGATTGACTCTTCCGAACTAATTTTTCAAAGATAGTGTAAATAACTATACTCGATTTGTTCAGTGCTTACCTTTGGTAATCATGTCGAACACACTTTCTGCATTATCTTTCTTAATGCTGTAAGCAGCCCTTTGCTTGGTCTTTCCTCTCCAACATAAGGAGTAGGTGAGCTATTATATGTTGACTCACCAGTTTCTCTCTTCTAGGTAATATAACAAATTACATAATGGAACATAGAGAGTGCCGTGACTTCTCCATTATTGCGTTTTCCATCGTGGTTGAGCAAAACCAAACAGTGCTTACTGTTTTGTTCAATAACGAGGCATACCATTCAGCTGCAATGTCTCTGACGGTGCTAGACAACATTCTCTTTATGTCACTTTCTGGCCCCAGTGCTTCCATTAAAGTCGTCAACAAGCCTCAGCCTCTCCCTGTTCATGATTCTCACCTAGTGTATGTATGATTTTCCTCTTCCTGAAATTGAGCCTTGCTATATATCCCCTTGCAGTTTGGCCATATACATTTGAAATTAGCTACTGAAATCATTTCCTACTTCAGTGTCAGCGTTTATTTTATTTTATTTTTTGCCATCTTCTGTAGGCATAGAAGTGGATTACAGATAGTATTGTGTTTGGCCTTTGGCATGGCTGTTGTGGTCGGTAGCTTCGGCTTCCAGACGGTGACCGAGAGAACCTCTAAGTCCAAGCACATCCAGTTCGTGAGCGGCGTCTATGTCCTCGCATACTGGCTCTCTGCTCTGCTGTGGGATCTCATCATCTTCTCTGTCTCCTGCTGCTTACTGCTGGTGAGTGTTAGCTGAAGTTTCATGCAGGCTCATTTTCCTGCGTCAACCAGGGGAAATTCCTGTCCAACTAATTGTGTCCTAAGATAAAACTTGTAAAGAAATTTAAAGCTACTTTGGATTATTATGCCAGAGAATATATCGTGGAAACCACACCGCGGAAATGTTCTCCCTCATATACTTTCAACTGGAGAAACTATTTTCCTCTGAAAAGTCTCTCTTTAGCTGATTTCCCATGGAATTCTCAGCATGATGCCCTGGCCCAGAACTCTGAAGGACTGTCACTCGACCCTCACTACCCATATAGATAGGCCACCGCCCACCGATTCCCAGCGCTGAGCCCTCGGGTAAAGCTGGACTGTAACAAGCAGTTTAGGATCAAGACCTAAGTGAGGCTTCCTGTTGCTCTTCACACTCACACACACTCACACACACACACACACACTCTCTCTCTCTCTTTCTCTCTCTCTCTCTCTCTCTCTCTCTCTCTTTCTCCCCCACTTCCCTCCCTTACTCCCTCCCTCCCTCCCTCTCTCTTTCATACCCTAATTCTAAGATGGCTAGGTCTGCAAAGCAGAACTAATTTTGACTCTGACACCGGATTTTAGATGCTGAGGACGTGGCCTAAATAGCGAGCGAGCATGTAATGAACCGACTTTCCTCATTAGTGAACTCGACAACTTCTTTTGTATGTGTGCGTGCGGGCAGGGGAGGTGTGAAGCTGTACAGTTGCAAGGGGTAAACATGTGAGTAAAACTCCCTTCTGTCCAGGAGGTACTGGGGACTTAGATGTGAATAGAATAATGTCTCAGCCCTCAAATGGTTCACTCTTTAGCAACAGACAGAGAAGTGAAAGCAGCATTATAAGATAGCAGTTTCCACCCAAGAAGTTGAACTATCAGTTTCCAGTTCAAACTATACCATGGAACGGTAAAATCAGTTGTTGGAGGAAAAGAGAGAATCCTTGGGTCAGTTTGGCCCCCACAGTCATAAGAAAACATGTGATTATTGCACAGGGCCCCCTGGAGTGGCTCTGAAGGAAAGCCGGGGTCCCAGCAGCCAGAACAGCTTTCAGCGTGGACCGGGCCTGGGGCCATCGGGCCGAGGATCATGGTGGTGGCGCGCTGAGCACCGTTCGCGCAGAGTCCCCAGGTCAGAGAGCAGAGCAGGGCTTCCCTCCTCTTGCCACAGCGCGCACCCCTGCCGCATTCTGCCTGCCAGGCCCTCTGCTCACCGCTCACCCACCAGCCGGCCTGCGTAGCGGGCAGACCAGCACCTCTGTGAGCCCGCGACTCTCATCTCTCCCCTCAGCCGCTGGGGACGCCCAGCCAGGCGTGGCCTCTAGCATCGCCACCTCCCTTCTTGCCCTGCGATTTGTGTTGGAATCCTCAGGAAACCCCTGACCCTTTCGTCTCCATGCCAAGGATCCTGTCTTTGTCTGACTGTAAACTTGCTGGCTCAGCAGCTATCATTTCCTGGTTAATAGGTCTGTAAATAAGACCATCCATTATTAATACTTATGCCAATGTTGCCATTTGTGGCTCATAAGAAAAATTGCTTGTCATGTGTTTTTTATGTGTTATGTCATTCAATAACACAGTTACCTGAGGTGACTTTAATGCATAATACTTACAGGCAAGGACACTGAGGCTCACAGCTAGTACAGATTTAGAACAGTGATTGGGGTCGCTCCAAAGCTCAGCGTCATTTATACATTCAGAGCCATCCTGGATAACGTACTGAAACTTACTTCTGCTCCCATATTTGCTGTTCCATCTGCCTTGGCATCTTACTCTACTTCGACACCTGCTTCTCTATCCTTTCGGTCTGGTCTTCGTATCCCCTCTCTGTCCTCTCTCCCCACCCAGAATCCCTCTTCATGATCCTCAGACTGGGTGCTCCGTATGGACTCGCCTTTGCTTGTTTGTCTGACTCGGATATCCCTTGTTTTCGATGAGACTCTCCCTCACCCTGCTCTGGTTCTGGGAAATGCCACCACCTGGACTTGTTCTTAGACCCAGCAAGAGGAGACAAGATTGTGTCACTTTGTCTAGAAGCCAGGATTCCTGTTTCGCCCTTTCTCTACCTATCAGAGTCACAAGGCAGGTGACTTTACTGCTCATAAGTCAGAGGCGAGGATTAACCTAACTATGTTGCTGGCACCAGTGAACTACCTGCCTGATGAACTGCCTGCCCAGACACTTTTTCCTGCCACTTGTGAGATTCTCAGTGGGGTTTAGTAAAGTCCTCTGCCTTTTCCTGCACCTGAGCCCGTGCGTGAAGATGGGAAAACAGAACAAGTAACTTTTCTGGTGAGTTATGTTTCCAGAGGTGCTGAGTGGTGAGGCTTCCCTCTCACGCAGTCTGTGCCTTTCTTCACGATCTCCAGACGTCGTGTCGGACACATTTGAAAGCCCCCGCTCCCTCACCCCGTGAAAGCTGTTTATTTATTCAGCAAACAGTGAGCTTCTTCTGTAAGTTAGTCTGTGTTTCAGGGATTAGGGACACAGCATAGGGAAGGCAGACGAGGGCTCATCTCTTGATGGGAGTAAATTCTAGTGAATATTAAAATTGCCGGCCTCACAAGGGGTTGGATAGCTAAGTCAGTGTCACTTTGGAGATATGTTTCTCATAAGCCTTAAGATATACTGTTTTCATCACTGTACAGCTCAGTTCTAGAAATTTCTCAGGGAGCACCCTCCCCCGCTGCCATCAGGCCATTATGCTTTGGGCACAGCTACTTTGCCAGTGTCATATTTTGCTATGTCCTTCTCATTCATGAACTTATTTTTAGGTAAAGAGCCAAATAAGGATTCCATTTTTTTTTTTCACTCTGACCCACCCCTGCTTTCCATGTCCACAGTTCCCACCTTTGTTTGTATCTTTATCATCTCTGTTTTTTCTTTTTTTTTTTAAGCATTTTATTTTATTTTGTTTTATGTTATTATTAGTTTCAAGTACACAGTACATGGGTTAGACATTTATATAGTTTATGAAACGATCACCTGTCTGGCCCTGCACACAGCCATCACGTCACTGCTGACTGCATCCCCTATGCCGTGCTCCCCATCCCCGTGACCATCTATCAACCACTAAACTGTACTTCTTTAATCAACCTTTTCTCCTAAATAGCTAACCTGCTGTTCTGCCATCTTTTTTTTTTTTTTGACAGCCACTGATTTGAAACAATGCTTTTGATGTATGTTAACAATATGCATTTAAGTATATTTTGTAGTCTTTATTCTATTCTGTTGATATCTGTAATGTGCCACTACCAATCTGTTTTAATTATGGTACTTTGATGATTCATTTAATTATATTTTTTGGATAGAACTTTCTTATCTCCTGCATTAATCTTCTGCGGAGTTTCCTGCCTATCTTGACAGGTTTCGTTTGTTTACATGTCATTTTTAAAATCAGCTTATCTAATTTCAAAAAAATCCTGTTGCTATTTCTACTTAGAGTAATTTGGGGAGAATTTACATCTTTATCTTGTTGAGTCATACCCTAGCAAAAAATAGGATATGTGTCTTCATGTATCCAAGTAGAAATTTAAATTTTCTTTGAAATAGATTCTAATTTGAGACACCCCTAAGCATTATAAGCCTTGGAACAAAGCTGCTCCTAAGTTACCTGCAATTTTTTTCTATTTATTTTTATTTCGTCCTCTTAGTTGGAATGTGGGAAACCGCTGTAGTTATAGCTGTTTGGATTCTTTCCCCGAAGATCCTTAATTCTCTTCATAAACTGTCTTTAAACTCCGTTGCTTAAATATAAACGACTTCTAAGAGCATCACAGGGCTGCGACAGGGGAAAGTCTTAGTTTAACCCTTAGTTTCCATCTGTTCGTGACCCGGCTAAATAATTTTCTGGTTGCTCAAAAGGAGCAACCTCGCTATCTTCAGAGAAACTGTGATTACCAACTATTATCGTATATGTTTCTGGAAAATTCTTTAATAGCTCTGTAGGCTCCCTTCTCCCTAATCTAGCTCACTCAAAATTTCTGGCTTCCTGTCTTATTCTCAAATGGAATGAGGACTACGTGAATAAGGAGGCCCCCAAGCTGCTGAAGTAGAGTTTAGGGATGTGGGGTACGGAGCAGCACCAGGAGGAGGTCTGGATGTGGACAGTGAGGCCGGGTTGGTTACACAAGGCTGGAGCGGCCCCGGGGTGAAGCCGCAGAGAAATCGTCTACTTCCTAGATCATTTTTTTCTGGAAAAACTCAGACTTGGGCTTAATGCAAACATAATTCCTTTGACTTTAATCATAGCAGGTGGAGAATAAAAAGCAATCCTGTTCCAAATGGGGGATAAAAAAAAACAAAATGCAAGTATAGTCCGTCTGTTCATGAAAGTCCTCTATTGAGGAAGCGGTGGTTTACTTCCTGCTCATAAGCTAAGGCTTTTTTTTTTTTAATGGGTCAACTGATGAGCGTAATGAATAGCTCCGCGGCCGGACAAGGTTGCCGCCTCCTGGGTGCTCTGGCTTGACCTCCCGTTGCGCAGCGTCCTTCATCTTGCCCTTCCATCTGCCTCTGTCTCAGGGCGTGTTCAAATACTGCGGGGTGAACTCGTTGGTGGACCACTACCACTTCCTGGGCACGATGCTCATCTTCCTGCTGTACGGCTGGTCCGTCATCCCGCTCATGTACCTCGGGAGCTACCTGTTTTCCAGCGGCACCTCTGCCTTCATCAAGCTCACGCTCTTCAACTACTTCTCGACTGCGTTCAGCGTCGTCATGCACACCTTCCTGCAGTACCACAGTGAGTGCTCCACACGCCATCCCCGTCCCCAGGAGGCGCGGTAAATAAACGAGGGTGACGAGCTCGCGGATAATGGCAGTGATGCTTAAGCACGGACTTGCCAGGAATCTGGAGAACTATGCCCTTTGGAAATCAGCAAGTATTTGTGGAGCGGATATGCGAGAGACGGGGGGTGGTGTTAAGTAAGAGATGGCGGGGAGAAGGGAAGAGGAAGCGGGAGGAGAAAGACCAAAGCCAAGCCCTCCGAAGGAGCTGGACTCGGCATCACTCTGATTTCATGACGGAAAATTTAGAAGACTAAGAAGTGGCAATACGAGTGTGCAAACCGTTTATCTCCTTTGAAATAGCCCCCCCCACCGCCCCCCTGCTAGAATCGGTCCTTAAGTTTTAAAATCTTAACAGTGCTCAGCTGGGAGCAAGAGAGGAGACAGGAGAGTAGAAGGCCCTGCGCCCCAACTCTGCCTGCTCTAACGCAGCACATCTTGAAGCTCCTAATGAGACGTTTTCAGAAGGAAACAATAAATGTGCAACAAATATCCTCGCGAAACCATTTTCCCTTCCTGCAAGGCCTGATTTTAGCAGGATTCCAGCAGTGGGTTCGTCCCACCTTCTTTCTCTGATTATGAAATTTAAAGAGAGGCTGACTGCTGGCTGATTATCAAATATAGAATTGTTTGTTTTTAGAACATTCCTTTGTTAAATTTCCATATAAACGTGAACTTTGAACTGTGTTAATCAATTCAGCTCCCCCGAAGAGGCAGAACCCCACCCAAAGAGGCTTCCAGACTCATCCCTGATGTCGAGCATCGGCCACATACACAGTGAACCAGTGTGTGGGCCAAGTGCATCTTCAATGTCTTGCACACCTCTCCAAGGGGGGATATTGCACCATGAGAGGCAAACTTGAGCCCCTGCCCAGTAGGCTCAAAGCCAAGCAGGAGCTACGCGTTCCTGCTCACTCCCTGAATTTGGTATACTATCTCTAGACTCTTCCAGTGGTCAGCCCTGTCACAGTCATGTGCTGCATAGTGACATCTTGGTCAGTGACAGACTGCACGTACAATGGTGGTCCCATAAGACTGCAGTGAAGCTGAATTTCCTGTACAGTGGAAGAATCTGTGGTTTGGGGGGTGTCGTTTTCTCTGATGGGAGCGATCCCTGTAGACTTGGCAGTAGAGTCCCTCTCACTCAGAGTGCCTCCGCTTTGAGTGCACAGATGACATCCTGCTCAGCCAGCACAGAGGAGGCTGTCCCTCAGCATTAGGTTTTCAGAGGCTCCACCAGCCCTCTCAGATCTAAGCCAATCATCTTGAGAGTACATTGCTATGAGTTCTTTGTTGAGGACCTAAGATCCCGTACACGGACAGGTGCGCAGAAACGACTTTAGCAGGTATCGAGTGCCACTTCCACTTTAGTAAAAGCTTTCTATGTCCCTGTGCTTTCATGATATTTTCAGGTTGCGATGACGTAAAGCATAGATGAGTTTTATTTCTCCCATCAATGCAATGCCAGAGAGAGCCCTTTGCGCCAGATAGGACCAATGGAACCAAAACGAAGTTCCAAAGTCAACATGCTGAGCACTCAGTTGTACATCCTCTCCATTGCTAAACATCCTCTTTCTTTCATGAATTCCATAAAATGTCTGGATCTGACACTGCTCCAACATGCAACAGCCAAAACCACGTGGCCATGACAATCCCCTGTGTTCCTTTATCTCTCCGTCTTGATTTCTTATTCGTACCGCTCCTCAGACCACCTGTCACTCCCTCCTGACAGTCACCGTTGTGGTCCATGCCTCACCCAGCCAGCTTCTCCTTGATATTTCCAGTCAGCCCAGCCCAGCTCCCTGTTTGTGGAGCAGCGCTGACGGCTTTGATGCGCGTGTTCCGATTCTGTCGGAAGGAAGCGGAGGAGAGCCTGTGGGACAGTGTTTGTAAAACCTACAGCTGTGCACAGTCATGTTCCAGGGCTTCACATCCGCTCCCCGCTCACTCCCTGACTCACCAGAGCAACTTCCGGTCCTGCGAGCTCCCCTCCCATGAGTGCTCTGCCCTTGAACTCTGTAATTGATGAATCCGTGCTACAAGCTATCAAGGCGAACAAGCTCAGTGTCTTAATGGCAGTACTTTCTCCAGGATCATCTGCTAGATGGGTAATTCTCCGAGAATGGTTTAACCGTCTTGGGGAAGTTTGTTGTCCTGGGAGGTTCATTACTCTCTTGCAGTTGAAGCTAATCTCTTGTTCTCTGAATCACAGACCATGAATTTCCTGAATCTATCGAAACCATAGATAATGTGTTAATGATGCTTCCCAGTTACAACTTTGCAATAAGTATCAGCAGATTCTTTGATGACCGTGAGTTGAAAACACTGTGCGCCCTGGAATTTCAAAGCATCCATGTGGACTGCAGTAAAAAATGTGAGTATCTCGGGTCTCCAGGCCCTCAAACACAGCCTGTTTCTTTTCAAACTTCTACATTTAAGCTTAGACTGTATGGCTGGCGTAAGGTAGAGATAAAGGGGTTATTAAGGGGTTTTCTGTTTCACAAAACCAGAATTGGCCATTTTGCAAAGCCTCTCCGGCACTTTGTCTGTTAGGATGGTAGTGTTTTCTCCTCTGGTTTATTCGTAATTGCCACCCAGCCATCTTTCCTTCTCCTAGGAAGTCAACAGAACTTCAGGTTATCTGGAAAAAAACAAAGATATTCATATTCCAGTTGATTCTAAAAATTGATAACAAGCATATTTGCCATGTGTGCGTTATTGGTTCTAGAAGCAAATAATTTATGTGCAACACCAGAAAGATGTAATTTTAAGTCACTAAATCAGTGCAGGATGAAATATAATGATTAGGGTCAAATGAATTATATTTTCTTAGAACCCCTTAATAACAAAAATTTTGTCACATTTTAGTTTGCATCATATTTGGACCGTAAATTCCTACCTCTGCTTTATAACAACAGCTCTATGGAGTAATTATTTAAATTAATTTAACTTATTTATTATATTTATTATTTTTAGTATATTTTGTAACATTGCGCAATCATCACCACAGGCCAACATTAGAGTATTTTCCTCATCTGAAAAAGAGCCCTCATGCCTATTCACTGCACCAGCCTTATAAAAGCTCGGCACACACTGCACCTAATCCTCGGTAATGGTAATCAGTGACGGTGTGGCTGGTTTATGCGCTTACCGTGCCATACTTTTTATTGTTATTTTAGGGTGTACTCTTTCCACTTATAAAAAAAGTTTGCCGTGAGACCGCGTGCTGTGTTACATCAGCAGCAGCCTCCCGTCGACCGTGTCTCCTGATTACATCATTTTCTCTTCTGCCTGACTTAACCCCTTGTTTCATTCATCCCGGCCCCTGAGCATACAAAATCGACTGCTGACGCTGCCACTCAGAGGCCATATCGAGCGAATGACCTGAAAGCAATGAGGAATGATTCAGGACTACGAAGGTGAAGAAGGTGGTGGCTGTTGCTCACCGGTCAGGCATATCCTGTTCTGCCACCGCTATGATCTTGAAGAACAAGAACAAGTGACAAAAGCTGTTAAGGGATCTGCTTCAATGCAGGCAAAGAGACTAACAAAAATTCAAGAAGCGCCTCAGAGATGGAGAAACTTCCAATGACCTAGACTGAGGACCAGACACAGAAGCACGGCCCTCTCAGCTATGGCGATCATGGCCAAAGTGAAAAGTTTGTTTGTGATGTCGAAAGAAAGGCTGGCCCTGACTACGATGTAGAATTGACTGTGAGCTCAGGGTCGTTGAAACAGTTCAAGAGTCATTATTCGTGATGGTGTGTGGTGTGTGTGAGTGCGGTGTGTATGTGGAGTGTGTGGAGTGTGTGTGGTATGTGGAGTGTGTGTGCCTAAGAGGGCCGATGTGAAAGCAGCGGAAGAATTTTTGGAAACTCTAGATAAGCCGATTGCAGAAGAAAATTACTTGCCAGAGCAGACATTCAAATGTATGAAACCTCCCCATTCTGGAAACAGGTGCCTGAAAGGACTTTTATCCGTAAGGAGGCCAAGTCCATGCCAGGTAAAAAGGCCTTTAAGGACAGGACAGCTGTCTTGCTTGGAGACAGCATTGCAGGCTACACGTTGGAACCCTTTGTGACCTGGCACGTTGAGAACCCAGGGCCTCCAAGCACGTCAGTGAGCTCAGGCTGCGAAAGGGAAGTCGTGGGTGACCCAGCTGCTCTCCCAAGACAGCCTCCTGAGTTGCTCTGCCAGCGAAATGGAGGAGTGCTGTTTGGAGCATAACATTGCTTTCGAGATTTCGCTTATTGTTGATAATGCTCCCAGATATCCTCCTTCTACTGGTGATCTTCATGCCATGTCAAAGTGGTGTTTCTCCCTCGAAACACCACCTCTTCGATCCAACCGGTGGATTAATGAGTCGTAGCAGCTTTTATGGTCTGCTGCCTGAGGAGGACCTTGGCCCACGCTATCGCTGCAACTAAGACAGACACGGCAAGGACACTGAGGGAATTCTGGAAGGATTACAACATCTGTGACTTCATCAGGAACCTTGTTTGTGCTTGGGGTGATGTCACCGAGGAGTGTATGAATGGCATCTGCAAGAAGACACTCAAGAGAGTTGTCCACGACTTAAAAGCATTTGCTAAGGACGGGGAGGTTGCGCATGTCGACAGGGCTGTGGCCGAAATGGCAGACAACTTTAACGGGGTGTGGGTGAGGTGACAGGAGGAACTCCTACAGATGCTTCCAGAGGAACTAACTGATGAGGAATTATTGGCACTGGACCAGGAATGCCCAGCTGAAGAAGCAGCAAGACAAGACGAAACCGCAGGAGAAGAAAAAGAAGACCAATCCCCAAGAAAATGCACAGCGCAGGCTTTAGTGGAAGCTTTCGCAGACCTCAACAAGCTCCTTAAAGGGGTTGAAAAAATGGACCCCCAACACTGAAAAGTTTCTATAAACAGAATGTTCATGGTGCATTATGCGCTAACAAGCAAACTTAGAATTAAAAACAGAGAAAGAAAAAAAAAATAAAACACCACGGGCATATTTCTGAATAGAGTGACATCTCCTCAAGAAGGGGCCAGGCAGATCCTTCAGGAGGTGCTCCAGAAGAAGGAATGGCGGTCACAGGAGAGGACAGCTCCTCTGCCACTAAAGACCTTCCAGTGGGATAAGATGTAGAGGTGGAAGACAGTGATCATGATGATTCTGACCCGGGGTGGCCTAGGCTCACATGTATGTCTGTGTCTTACTATTTAACAAAAGAAAAGCTTAAAAAGTAAAATAAAAAAAATTAAATCGAAAAAAACTTGTAGCATAAGGATATAAAGAGAGAAAATATTTGTATACAGCTGTACAATGTGTTTAAGCTAAGTGTTACTACAAAAAGGTCAAAAAGTTTTAGAAATTGTAAAGTTTATAAAATAAAAATGTATCAGTAAGCTGAAGTTAATTTATTGAAGAAAGAAAAAGTTTTAATACATTTCATGTAGCCTAAGCATATGGTGTTTATAAAGGCCACAGTCATGCGCAGTCACGTCTTACACCTTCACACGCCCTCACCACGCATTCGGCCCCAGTCCTGCAAGCTCCTTTAATATAAGGGCCTACACAGATGTACCATTTTTTATCATTTATATAGGATTTTAACATACCGTTTCTATGTTTAGATATATTTAAATACACATATACTGACCGTGTTATAGCCGCCTACAGAATACAGTACATAACACATTGTACAGGTTGGTAGCCCCGTCTACCTCCCCGCTCCCTCCTCCCCCCTCCCCTCTGGTAACCACTAGTCCATTGTCCCTGTCCATGAGTCTCTGTTTGTTTGTCCTGCTCATTCGTTGCTTTTAGGTTTATATCCCACATATAAGTGATATCATGTGGTTTTCAACTTTTTCTGTCTGGCTTATTTCATTTGGCATGATTATCTTGAGGTCCATCCATGTTGTTGCAAATGGCAGTATTTCATCTCTTTTTATGGCTGAGTAATATTCCATTGTATGTATGTACCACAGCTTCTTTAGCCAGTCATCTATCATAGGACACTTCGGTTCCTTCTATGTCCTGGCCACCCTGAATAATGCTGCCATGAACATCGGTGTGCGAATATCTTTTCAGATATGAGTTTTCAAGTCTTTGGGGTAAATACCCAGTGGAGGGATTGCTGGATCATATGGTAGATCAATTCTTAGTTTTTTGAGGAACCTCCATACTGTTTTCCATCGTGACTGTACCAATTTGCAGTCCCACCAGCAGTGTATGAGGGTTCCTTTTTCTCCACATCCTCTCCAACATTTGTTATTCCTTGTCCTGTTGATAAGAGCTATTCTGACAGGTGTGAGATGATATCTTATTGTGGTTTTGATTTGCATTTCCCTAATAGCTAGCGATGATGAACATCTTTTCATATGTTTGTTGGCCATTTGTACATCTTCTTGGGAGAAGTGTTTGTCATATATAGCTTTTATTAGGTTAAGGTATGTTCTCTATACCCACTTTGTCTTTAATCCACTTTGAATTTATTTTTGTATATACTGTAAGAAGTCGGTTTGATTTTTTTTTTTTTTGCATGTGTCTGTTCCGTTTTCCCAGCATCTCTTATCAAAGAGGCTGTCTTTACTGTCTCTTTACAATATACATTGTATACTCTTACCTCCTTTGTCAGATTGATGGACCATATAGGTGTGGGTTTATTTCTGCGCTCTTTTATTACATTGAGATATTCTGAGCTATTTGGGCTCTTTTATTACATTATATCTATCTATCTATCTATCTATCTATCTATCTATCTATCTATCTATCTGTCTATATATCTGTTTTTATGCCATTACCGCACTATTTTGATGATTGTAGTCTTGTCGTGTAGTTTGAAATTCGGGAGTGTGATACCTCATTCTTTCTTTTTTTTCGTGAGATTTCCTTGGCTATTCAGGGCCTTTTGTGGTTCCATATAAATTTTAGGATTAGTTGTCTAGTTCTGAGAAGAAGGCTATCACTATTTTGTAGGAACTGCACTGAATCTGTATATGGCTTTGGGTGGTAAGGACGTTTTAACAATAATAATCCTTCCAATCGATGAGCACGGTATATCCTTCTATTTCTTTGGATCCTCTTCAATGTCTTCAGTGTCTTACAGTTTTCAGGGTTCAGGTCTTTCACCGCTTTAAATTTATTCCTAAGTATTTTATGCTTTTTGATGCAACTGAAAATGGGATTGTTTTAATTTCTCCTTCTGATAGTTTCTTATTGGTGTAGAGAAATGCAACAGGTCTCTGTCTATCGATTTTGTATCCTGCAAATTAGTGAATTCATTGATCAGTTCTGATAGTTTTTTCAGTGGAGTCTTTAGAGTATCCTATGTGTAGTGTCACATCATCAGCAGGATAAGACTGCCAATCAGCATCTCTAATTTAGTCTACCTGTGGGTCACTCAAAAAAATGAGCACCATCTCCTGCACAAGAACAGTTAGGAAAAACATCTAGTTACATCTGGGTGGTGGGATTAACTATCTTCTAATTTTCTTTTCTTTTCTTTTTGCTTATATATACTAAGTTTCTGCAGTGGTATGGATTATACTGGTAATAAAAACATTACGTAATTTGTTATACTCCAATATACTTGCATTGCAGTCAGTCGGTTACTATATTTGTGGACCATATTAGGTACTGTGTAGATGCTATGAGAAATATAAAGATCCGGAATGTAAAACTTTTGTCCTCAAGAAATTTAAATATTAATAATAACCAGTCCAGATTTTGTGGGGAACTATTTGGTAATATTTAAAAAGTAAGTTATAAAACCACTTAAACCTTATGACTCATTTATCCGATTTTAAAATATATTCTTTTTAGAATTGAGATATAGTTGACATATAATGTTATATTACTTTCAAGTATACAACATAAAGATTAGATATTTGTATATATTGTGAAATGACTACCACAATAAGTATAGTTAACATCCATTACCATACACAGTTACAAATTTTTCTTGTGATGAGTACTTTAAAAATTTACTTTTAGCAACTTTCAAATTCATAGTACAGTTCAGCTTCCATGCTGTACATCACATCCCCTTAACTTCTTTATAACTAAAAGTTTATATCTTTAGAGCCCCTTGACCCTTTTAGCCCAGCCCCCGCCCCAACCTCTGGCAAACACCAACTTCTCTTTATGAGTTCAAAATTTTAAATTAAAAAAAATGTAAAATAAAATTTTTTTTTAATTCTACATATATGTGAGATGATACAGTATTTGTCTTTCTCTCTCAGACTTATTTCATTTAGCGTAATGCTCTCAAGGTCCATCCATGTCACAAATGGCAGGATTTCCTTTTTCTTTATGGCATGTATGTATGTATGTATGTATGTGTGTATGTGTGTGTGTGTGTGTGTATGTGTGTGTGTGTGTGTGTATATGAGAGATATATATCTCAATGTAATATCTCAATGTAATAAAATAGCCCATAATATCTCAATGTAATAAAATAGCCCAGAAATAAACCACACCTATGTGGTCAATCAATCTGACAAAGGAGACAAGAATATACAATGTATATTGTAAAGAGACGGTAAAGACAGCCTCTTCGATAAGAGATGTTAGGAAAACTGGACAGATACA